AGCAGTTTGGTCGGTGCCATAAAAGAACCTCAGTTCGGTATATAGCCCTAGACACAATACTGTAAAAACAGTGGGGTTACTTCCATCGTTACTATGGCAACCTCAGTTCTTTAGTATGGTAAAGTTCATACTTTGTTAGAGATTTCTCTTTGAAGAAGTAAGGCCCTATTTACACGGACATGATGGGGGGAAACTTAGGTTTGTTCGTATGTTAATTAGAGGAAAAGATCTGCGTTGACACGGTCGTATTTTGGGTTTACATGCATCCGGAGGATTCCCCCCACCCCGCCCTCCTGAATCCGCTGTAGTTACCATGCCGGGTCGTTAGATGGCGCTGTGAATTTTGTACCTTCACCTAATGTGCATGTGTGCTGCCTCGGCACGCTCCTTTCCTCTGGGCTAAAAGCTCAGCTAACAACATCTTAACAACAAGTTAAAGCTGGATTTTGGATGAGAGTCGACAGAGTTGACGCCAAGCGGGACCGCTTCGTCTAACAGCTCCACACCGGTCGCTGGGTGGACCAGAACCGAGTCAATGATGTTGGACTTTACTCCGTGATAATCAGTAGCTGTACAGCAGGTAAATCAACATTCTTAATAATGTTTGCTTGTGTTTACTTTGATCACACAACAACCAACTGAGTTTTTATTTTTATTTTTCCTGAAAGAAGAAGGAGCTGTCCTCCACCAGGCGGACCGGTTCTGAACGAGGCTCGGCCCAGATGAACTGCAGGAGGACGTCGAAGAGAGAGAGATGTTGGATGAACTATTTATTTAAAATTCCCCTCAGTTGTTTTATTAAATCCAGTTAATATTTAAAGCTGCATTAATCAAAGGAGTGACAGCCTGAACGAGCCAGATGGACAACGTGGGACTTCCAGGATGAAAACAAGAGTCCAGTTCATTAATGTAGTTTACAGTTAACTTGTTTTTAATAGTGTGTTCAGTTTAATTATCAGTGTTTATGTGACATACAGTTTGTGGTGTTGAATAAATAAATAAAAATTAAACCTGATGTCTTCATTTTCAACTTTAGTGTTCACGTTATATGTTTAGCATCATTTTAAATTTGAATTACATCATGTCCAGATAGCTTCATTTAGCTCAGAGCTTCATTATATATTTATTATTATTAAACTGTTGTTATTTAGCACATTTATGTTATAGTGCAGCACCACGTGTGCACGTGCCTCATTCTATAAACAGTGATATTAGAACTGGATCAGACTGTGTCTCTTCCAACACAGATGTTGGTCACAACACCTGGAATCTGATGTAGATTAACTACGAGATTAAAATATATTCCATCAGTCGAGGTTCTGAAAGCACTGTATCCGTCGCCATGTTGATAGAAATATAGCGTCTGTCCGCACGTGCGTGTGCGCATGTGGTTTAACACAAAGCCTCAGCGGGAGATGTTTACATTATCAGCGGGGGGTCAGAGAAAAACCTCCACTCTGGAAGGTGGAATCAGAACCTCTGGATTCAAAGAGGGGGGCCACTGGTGTCGAGTAAATGATCAGCAGAACCACAGAGAGAAAGGAGCGCATGCACTCAAAATACACGCCGTGTAAACGGCCCCTAAGTGTCTGTTCCTTCTCAGGAAAGGGGCTGCTTAGCTGGGGGGGGTATTAACACTCAGGTTAACTATCATAGTCAGTATGTCAGTGTGGTCCAGGATGTAGACTCATCCTGACTTGGGAGATTAACACACAGAGAAGGGGGGTAGGAGAGACACGCTGTCTCTGAGGACGTTCTGTCTTTTGAGAGGACCTTGGTTGGATGGACGCTACACTCTCAACCTCCAGCAGCAGATAAGGAAGCAATCACACAATTTATCAATGCACTTGACCTACCTACTATTGGGAAAGTTCAAAATAAACTCATGTAAAAAAATTACAGATAAAGAAATTAAAGCTGCAATAGGTAAACAAACAACAAACAAATCAGCGGGTAGTGATGGTTTTCAATCTGAATTGTATAAAGTTTTTAGGGAGGAACTCAAACTGTTACTCCGGGCATGTTTTAACTGGACTCTTCAGGAAGGAATGGCCCTTCCATCATGGAGGGAGTCAGTTATCACACTCATACCCAAAGAGGGCAGAGACACGTGTTTCATAAATCCATTAGAAGTTGTAATTCCAGGCGACGCAGGAGAGTGACGTCAGTGGTAACTCTTCCTCTGCTGCCTCCCTACTGTTTGATGCTTCCAGAGTACTCCCAGTGTGAGGCAGCAGAGGAACTGGAATTGCAAATTCTAATTGATTGATGGAACACTTTTTGTGGGGGTGGGGCGTGAAAATGAAAAAGTAGCTTCCTCTTCGTTTTCTCTGTAGTTGTGTCACACAATGAGCAGTGTTGAGATGAAAATGAAAACAGTTTGGATGATCTATTAGTAATTTCATTTATGAGTCAAAAAATGCAGCTCTGACTTTGAAATGAAAAAGCATTTCTGCTAATTCATTTTAATTTTCAAATTTGACATTTCAAAATGAATTTTGGTCACTTTTTATAGGGATCCATCCATTTTCTTTACCCGCTTCTTCCATTTTGGGTCACGTGGATCGCCGGTGCCCATGTCCAGCAATCACTGTGTGAGGGGCAGGGTACACCCTGGACGGGTCTCCAGTCCATCACAGGGACACATAGAGACAAACGAGACAAACAACCATTCACTCTCTCACTCTCATCTAGGGACAATTTAGAGTTACCATCAGCCTAACATGCATGTTTTTGGTCTGTGGGAGGAAACCGGAGTACCCGGAGAAAACCCACGCATGCACGGAGAGAACATGCAAACTCCACCCAGAAAGACCCCTGGACCGGGATTTGAACCAGGGACCTGCTCGCTGAGAGGCAGCAGCTCTACCAGTTGTGCCACCGTGCTGCCTTTTTATAGGGATATATTTTGAAAATTAAATGTTAAATGTTATTTTATTTATCATTTTAATTTACAAACTCTGAAAATGCAGTTTGGATTATTTATTTTTCATTTTATTTATGAGTCAAAACATGCAGCTTTATTTTGAAAATGAAATGCATTTCTGTTAATCCATTTTCATTTGAAAATTGAGACACATTTGTTTCCATATTATACAGGGAAAAATGTTATTTATTTATTTTCTCCTCTTTTTTTCTCTGTTTTTCTTTAGTGTCTTTACAAAAATCAATAAAAATTAAAGTATAAAAAGAAGCACCCTTGTGTTGTGGGTTACCAGTGAGGGGCTGGAACTGGGCTGACACTTGGAGACTAGTCATCACTCTGGCTTGTGCACAAATGAGCTTTTTTCTTGTTGCAGTCTCACTGAATTCAAAGTGTTTGCAGTCAGAACCACGTGTTTGTGTTTTAATCTGACAGGTTTTGAAAATCAAGGCTTGTGTTTTTACAAAACTGTATTCTATCAGTGGCGTTCACATTCATTTGTTGCCCATCTCCGCTCTTCCACCTTTGCATTCACATCCAAACTTGAACACTTGGGGCTGCAGCCTTGAATGTTTTATTATTATTTATTTTTGTCAGAAGAGATGTCCTGTTTAAGACGTCACATTTAGCTGTGGTGCTCTAAAATTGATGGGAACCAAATTGCACAGGTCCTCTGGTCGGGTTCTTCTTTGTTGAAACGTTTTATCTTTTATTCAAAAGGTCTGAGGAGCCGCAACAAACTCAGTCTTAGAAGCACCACCTTCACTAATGGCACTTTGCCACTGTCTCACACTCATCAGTTCCACACCACACTGCACCAGTTCAGGGCCTGCACACTGCCAGTATCCACCCCCCATTCAGCCCGGTTTATGGGACCACCTTGCTTGAGCTTCCAAGCGAACTGCTCTGAGGTGGTGATTTAGACGTAAGCAGATAGCAGCCGTTGATTGGCCAGCAGAGCTACCTCACTGTATGACCCGCCCAGCAAAACGACTAGTTTGAAAGAAAATCAGTCACTCGAAGCTTTAACTTCAAGTGACAAGGCTGCAAGCCTGTGTGACACAAGTGAGGAATTTGACTGAATAAATGGATGCTGAGATTGAGACACTTTTTAAAAAACGCCTGCACATTTTAAAGACATTTTGGAGACTTCTCCTGCAAATGTTGTTCACCAATTAGTCACTGTGTCACAGCCCAGTTAAAATGTCTGATGCTGTTTATGACAAAACATGTTGTTCCACTTTGGAGTAAGCTGTTGGGGGAAGAATCAGTTTTGTGTTGTGTGCTTCCTTGACTGATGAAGCCTCCTGGATGGAAGGTGAAACGTTTCAGCACAAAAAAAGAAACAGTCCAGATGACCTGACTGAAAAATGTTGGATTGTATACCTGGATTATTGAGCATGGACTTTGATGCCTTGGTATATTCACACACATGAATTATTTATGGACAGCGTTGATGCTTCGAACACAACTGGCAGAACTGGGTCAATGAAATATAATTTTATCAGATAATGTATTAATTTCATGAAATATCTTTCCGGTAGAAAAATGTAGTTTCAGCTACATGCCTACAACTCCCAACATTCACGCACCCACCCTTTATAGAACACAAGATGGCGAGATATTATTGGTTGAGAGCTGGGTCACGTGATAGAGTAGGACCTCCCGTTCGTTGATGGTGATGACGACTCCAGGAGGTGTGGCCGAGCTCTGAAGAAGATGTGTTGACTGTTTAGTTGGGGCCATTGTTCGTGACGGCATGGTGGAGATACAATGGTGCAGGGCTGTGATCTTGTACTTTACATGTAAAATAAACCTTCTGAAATGGAAGACAAGTGCTCCTCCTCTCCCTGCTCCAGATCAGAACACTTTCTTACATCAACATTTCTTCTGCACTTTACAGTCAATAATGTAAGATGGAGTTGTAGTTTCGTTCTAGTAACAACTTAGTTTCTGTTGGTAATAAGCACAAAATCTTTCCTCAGTCTTTTTACACAATTCTGTGCTGGAGAATTGGCCTGACTGTAAGGAACCTCTTGACACCAATATCAACCTTTTCTATTTGATTTTTCAGGCTAGAGTCCCACCCTCCAATGACTTCAAGGTGGGAATGAAGCTTGAAGCTCATGACCCACGCAATTCCACATCCGTTTGTATCGCCACAGTGATGGGTTTAACTGGGGTCCGTCTGCGTCTCCGCCTGGATGGAAGCGACAACAGCAACGACTTCTGGCGACTCGTCGATTCCTTGGACATCCAACCCATCGGCACGTGTGAGAAGAATGGAGACATGCTGCAGCCACCTCTGGGTAAGAAAGGCAGCGCCACTGATGTCGTTTGTAGTTGTTTAAAGGAGAAATGTCAGTCAGAACTGGTAAACTCAGTTTGAACCCATTATTCTCTCCTTCAGGGTTTCGAATGAATGCCTCCTCCTGGCCCATGTTTCTGCTCAGAACCTTGAACGGAGCAGAGATGGCACCAGTATCAGCCTTTAAAAAGGTTTGCCGTACATCTGCGCAGCTTTAAAAATAGTATTAGCCAAACAATGTGGCTCTGTCTGATGCTCTTACTCTTATTTTGTTGTTTTAGGAACCTCCACGACCGCTCCAGAATAATTTCAAGCCAGGCATGAAGCTGGAAGCGGTAGATAAGAAGAATCCATACCTGATCTGCCCTGCCACAATCGGAGAAGTGAGGGGTGATGAGGTGTTCATCATGTTCGATGGGTGGCGGGGGGCTTTTGATTACTGGTGCAAGTATGACTCCCGGGACATCTTCCCAGTGGGCTGGTGTTCTCTCACTAAACACAGCCTCCAGCCTCCAGGCAACAGTGGTGAGTGTTAGCTGTAGGTGGCAGCAGATATTTACATGATCTGGCACGTGCCGTTATTTGTTATTAGTGTTTGATTAATCCCCATTTGGTTGGAGTGCAGCATCCAGAACGTTACTCCCACTGCAACACAAATAAACTCCATTAACAGTAATAAAAATACCTTAATTTTAACAGGTAGTGCCTTTTTATCTTTTTAGGAAAATACATTCAAAGTGACTTGTGAATTTGTATGTAATGGTAGTCTTTCTTTCTGGCTCTCGCTCAAGGTGGACGCTAGGGGGGGGCGATATGGCTCAAATATAATATTGTGATATTTCAGAGCATTCTGACGATAACGATACATTCATTTGACAAAATTAACTTCACATGTTGCTTTGCAGTATTATATAAAAACTAAAAAACAAAAACAAGGGTTAGTTTTACCAAAATTACTTTATTTAGTAAAGTATTCAGTCTCAAAGTATAAAAATGAAAATGATCCTTCTGTTATTTAGATTGAAAGTCTGCACAAAATATAGGTCAGTAAATCCACCACAAAAACTAAAGTGCAGGTGAAGAATGACTAAATAAAATGAAGCTTAAGATCTGTTGATCATAAATGTAACATAGAGCAAAATATATGTTTCCTTTAAATGAGCTGTAACTTCCAGAACTTGTAACAAGGTGATCATCTGACCCTGAAGCTGGTGGAGTTTCAGCTTCCTCTGTTCCTGCAGGAATGATTCTCTGATGCTCCATCTCTGATCACCTGACTCTGTTCTTGCTCCATGGACTGTGGAACTAAGAGACAGACCTGCGTGTGTTTGTACCGGCAGTTTAGAGCGGGGGAGACGCAGCCCGCACCGGCAGCCAGAGCGGAGTGGGGAGAGAGAAAAAAAGACGAGTGGCAGCGTAGAGCGGGGAGAAGGGAGAGACAGTTGAGCTGTCTGTACCTGCAGTTTAGAGCTGCATGGAGACACAGCTGAGCCGCACGTTGTTTGTTTTTAGCTTTTTAGCTAGCTAGTACTGCGCACAACTAATTAGCGTTAAACCAGCACCGACAGGTGGAGGTGGGGGTGCGCAGTTCAGTTTGTGTGTTCAGTGCGCTCGGTTCTGTTAAAGGGGCGGGGCGCCCTGACGTATCGTGAAATTAGCATATCATGTCATTTGTTTGCGTGGGCAAGCTGTTTTTACAGGTATTATCATGAACGATATGATATGTCCCAGCCCTAGTGGACGCTCCTTAGAGTTTCATTCAGGCCTAATAAAGCCGGCCCAGCCCGAGTCCTCAGCCCCCCCGCCCCCTCCCCCCACCCCTGAGCCCCACTCAGACCCAGTGGACCAACGGAAATTAGAGGGCGAACCTGAAAAAAACAAAAAAACTTTAAAAAATATATAATGAATCTTTTACTGCTTTTGTAAGCAAAACAGTTGGACATGAACGTTTTAAAAACGTAAAGAAAGGAAGATATAAGAACAAGTCACCAAATGGATATTAACATTCAAAATGATTAGCCAAAAACATCAACTTTAGGCTATTATACTCATGAACAAAAATATTTTATAGTGAAATTATTTGGAAAAATATAGAACAAGGCTATTTTAATTTAGATATAAAAGAAAGTCGTGCAAAATTAAGCTGAGTCATGCTGTCACTGATGACGGAGAGATTTAACGTTCACCCGCACTACACGGAATAAAACTACTGTGTGCATGAAGAATAAACTGAAGAGGCCTACGTTGTACAACTATGATTATGCTAACAGCTACTTTAATAAATAAAATATCTATAACAAATAACATACAGCGGGTAAAGACGATGGATGGAGGGAAGGAAGAAAGACATTAATTAATTAATTAATTGGAATCGATCTGCAGCACGGTGGTGCAGCTGGTTGAGCTGCTGCCTCTCAGCGAGCAGGTCCCTGGTTCAAATCCCTTGTCCGGGGGCCTTTCTGGGTGGAGTTTGTATGTTCTCTCCGTGCATGCGTGGGTTTTCTCCAGGTCCTCAAGTTTCCTCCCACAGACCAAAAACATGCATGTTAGACTGACTGGTGACTCTAAATTGTCTCTAGGTGAGAGAGTGAATGGTTGTTTGTCTCTATGTGTCCCTGTGATGGACTGGAGACCTGTCCAGGGTGCACCCCGCCCCTCGCACAGTGACTGCTGGACATGGGCACCAGTGACCCCCGTGACCCAAAATGGAAGAAGCGGGTAAAGATGATGGATGGATGGGATCGACCTTGAAGGAGGCTCATAACATGGATCAGTGGAGTGGATTCCCATGAATCAGCCATTTTATACCAGACAGTTCCAGCAGGACTCGAGGCTGACAAGAAAAACTGTCTGCCTGATGAAAACTCAACAGTCCAGGCTTATCTGAATCTGACTCCCCCGTTTGGGCTCGGATACGAGCCGACTATCAAAGTTCTCCTGGGACATGGGTAACTAGGAACAAAAGCTTTGTCTATCGCACCCCCCCACCCGAGAACTTCTGTGCGGGTTTATCAGAAGTGCCGGATGAAACAACATGATGAGAACTGTGGCCTGTGTGAAAGTGCTCATGGACAAATGTCAAGACCTTGACATCAGATGCATGTAATCATATGCTGGTGGAGTTTTGATGTCTCCACTCGTGTCCTGACGGGACAAGATGTGAAGACATCTTTTTCTAATACCACTATCCAACCTTATGGTTTTTACCCTTTTCCTATCTAGAAGTATTCTAATAAAGAACAGGGGCCGTGCTTCTCAGCAGCAGCAACGTGCACTCCACCCATGTTTCAGACGACTACGAACATAATTTCACTGTATTTCTGTACAATGATAATAAAACTGATTCTGATATTGTGTGTGTGTGTGTGTTTGTGTTGACAAATCTTAGTGAAGCTTGTAGAAGGTAACTGCATGTTCATGTACAACAGGTGAACTTGTGAGTCAGCCTGGTCGTTGTGTTGACATGTTAAACGTGACAGGATCGTTGTGTTGACATGTTAAACG